GCTAGAGTGGCCTTGCCAGGGAGAGAGCCCAGGGGGACACCAGCCTTGATAGAGGTCCTCCCCTAGAGCTGACCAGCAGCTTAGGACAAGGTTGTAATAAACAGGGACTGACCTTTGTTGGCTAGAGCTGATGGCCATCGAGGTGGGGAAGGAGTCAAGAGAGAGAGTCTCCATTTCCCAGGCAGGACTTTTGCTCACACTGTCATTCTGTCTGGGATGCTCACTCCTCTGTGCTAATCTCTACATACCAAAGCCCTCCCTGACCCTTATGGTTTAGGCTGACTGTCCCCATCTCCATCAAACTGTTCCTCCCTCCAGACATGGTATCACCTCCTCGGTCCTCACAACCTCTTAGTTGTACCTCTTTCATGGCAGTTACCATGAATGTCATTCTGTTTTGGTGACTGGGTGCATCTTTTCTCTTCCCTGGTCAGCTGCAAGTGTCTTGAGGTCAGGGACAATCTTACATCTCCTGGTACGTCATGATCTCCAGAGTCTCAGGCCCAGTAGACCAGTGCATGGTCCCTTCCATGTGGAGGTCTGGATGGAGGAGCTTGGAGCAGCGGCAGTACCGGGACATGAAAAGCCACCAGCCCTACTTGTCCACCAGGAAAGTGCAAGCTAAAGGGCTGTGAACAGCTTTCTCAGTGTTCTGATGTGGCGTACACAGAAAATCATCTGCAACACAGTGTTGACTCACCAGCTCTAGTAAACTTATACTCGGTCAGTAAGGGGAAGGAAGCAGATGTCTGTACCAAGAAGACTGCTGAGAGAAGCATGCCTCCTCCGCTCACAAACGCACACGCTCGCTCCAAGCACAGGCACGCCAGGGCTGCTGCAGCATCTGCTCCTTCTGCATTTCCCCCTAGTCTTTCATGTGCAACCCAAACCCTACAGATTAAGCCTCATCCTGGGGCAGGGTTGAGAGCTGGGGCAGGTGGAGCACCTCATCCATTAGCACAGTGGAGGCAGTTCTGCTCAGTGCACAGCTGTCTGCCTTGCGCCTCCACTCCGACTGGCAGGGACACTGCTCTCTGGCAGGTCAGCACTCTGTGCAGAGACAGAAGAACCTAGAAATTGGGCACAGGGCAGTCGAGCCCTGATCCCTGCGATCCCATGGGTGGGACTTCAGATTCTTTTCCTTCTCTTGGCCGTGTGGTATGCAGCTCACAAAGCATCTCCAGGACTGAGCAGCTGCACCTAGTCCCACCTTCCCTGGCAAAGAAGACTTCAGAAAAGAAACTCTTTCCTCTGCTACAACACCTAAGCACTCATGTGCGAGGAGAAGGTCTCACTGTGTTGTCACAAACCTAAGGAAGAGCAAAGTACCTTCTGGCCGTGGCTTTGGTTTTTCCAACCCTCCATCTTGCATGAGCTCAAAGGCAAAGGAGACATTCAAGACCTGGCAAGAGAGATGCAGGGCATATGTCATTGCACATTCATTCCTCGGCACTTGGGGCCCTGAGACCTGCCCCTGAGGAGTGAAGGAGCCCAGCAGTGGAGCCGGAGGGGTAGAGGCTGAGCTAATTTCAAGGAGAAACGTAGCTACTGAAACGAGCGGGCCATGTGGAGCGTGAGCTTGCCGATGCTACCCTGAGGCTGGGGAAGCACTCCTGGAGAAGTTAAAAATTCTCTTCCTGTCCTGCTGTGTTCTTGTGCCAACTGCCTGGATTTCAAGCTTGGGGACGTCAGTGCACATGTTCAGAAGGAACAGATGGCAAGACATGATCAACAGGCAGAGAAGGGTTTCTGCTTTAGCCCAAACGCCTCTTGTCTAGTGAGCAGGATGTAGAACTAGGCTAAGCGTGGCTTCGCGGTCACCTTCCCTGTCACCACTGGGGAGAGGTGAGGCAGGAGCACATGGCCGGGGACCAGGGCAGGCTGCTGGGGAAGGGAGAAGCTTTCAGGACTCCCAGTGGTCTGCCAGCGGCTCCTTCCCAGGTCAGCCTTCATCAGAATGGGAACCTCCAGCCACTGAAGACCCTGGGCAGAGGGCGAGCCTCTGCTTTCCTCCTGGCCAGCCCCAGCAGGGGTGTGGGCAGATAAGGCAGGGGATATGGGCCAGGGCCTTCCCTTGGTGTCCCTTACCTTTTGTTCAAAGCTGTCTGGGGTCAGGAAGAAGCTGTGCAGGGGCACGAAGTAGCCCTCCAGGAGGCCCATGAGCAGCACCAGGTACACCCCATCTGCAAACTGGAGGGAGACGGCCTGGTGAAGGCTCTGGCCCCTGAGCTTCCCCGCCAAGCCCCGTCCCAAGGACTGTCCCACCCCAAAACCACCACCCCAGCAGGCAGTTGGCCCGGGAGTGAGGGGCAGTGGCCCGAAGTGGGGAGGTCTGCTCTGCAGCAGGCCTGTCCCGTGTCTGGCTGGTCTGACGCAGGAGCTGTAAACCCACAGCCCTGAGCTCAGCTGACCCAGCGTTTGCTGGGCATGGACTGTGCACCAACTCCCGATCTGGGCATGGGGACCAGAGTGGGATCAGTGTGGCTCCTGCCCTCGGGGAGCTCACAGTCCAGTGGGGAACACTGGTGTGGGGCAACGTGGCAGCTGCTCCAATGGAGGGACGTGTGCTGGCCTGAGTGAGGTCGAGGAAGGCCGCCCACTCCTACTGAAGGCATCAGAGCAGTCTTCCGGAGAGGACGCCAGCGAATGGACAGCTGGGCATGAGGAGTTAGCCAGGCGGGGCAGAAGGAGGAGGGACAGGTGATGTACAAGGTGAATGGCATGAGGCTACCGTGGCAACTTTCACTTTCTGAGCAGAGGAAGGACTCTAGTGTGGCACAGGCCTGGGCATCCTCCTTTCTCACATCTCACCTCGTCGTTGCTTGAGGGGCAGCGGGGTGTCCTGTTACAAGTGCGGGCTCTGGAGCCCGGCCTCCTGGGCGCCCATCACAGCTCTGCCACTTACTAGCTGTGTGACCTGGGCAAGTTATATAGCCTCTCTGTACCTCGTTTTTCTCATCTGTAAAATGGGGGTGATAATAGTATCTACTTCATGTGGTTATTGTGAGGACTAAATGAGTTAAAATGTGCACAGTGCCTGTAATCTGCTTGGCATGAAGGCCGCACTTAATAAATACTAACTGTTGCTGTTACAGTCTGGGAAAACAACCGAGCAATGAGGACACGACTTACTGGCTCTTGCTGGCAAAGCAGACCCATGTGCTGAGGACCATGGCAAGAGGCTCAGAGCCTGGTCCCTTCCTAGAGGCCAGATGGGTTGGGAAACCAGACCCAAGGGACACGAGACTCCCAGGCTAAGTGCAGAGGCTGCAGGTCTTCTGCTCAAGGGAGGGCGAGATGAATGTGCACCGAGGGCAGGCGCGCAGGCAGTGGGGGCCTGGGGTGAGTGAACTTTGGGAGGAGTAGGCATCCTGGAACAGAGGCTGGCCTGAGCACATCCAATATTCTAGGATGCTTTCAAAGGAGGCTGGGCCACCAAATGTTTGTGGGTGTAAACAACAGTTGCTAGAGGCCCAATTTCTTGGAATCATCTTAGGAAGCGTAAGAGAACTAGACTAAATTGCCCGGAGTGTGGGCTGGGTCCGAAATCTGCTCAGATAGCTTTGCTGGGTGCCCGGCTGGCTTGGTCTTCAGCCTTCGTTACGGGCATAAGGCCCTGAGCTGCTGCTTCTACTCATCGGGCCTGCAGCTCTGGTGGGAAGGGCCTGAGCACAATTCACCCCATGCCACTCTTGGGTGGACTTAGGAGAGCAGACCCCATAATTTATGTCAAAATCAAGGCCCTCCTGGTGGGAGCTAAGCAACTGGACCTTATCTTGGTTGTGGCTAGTATGGGTTGGTAGTGAAAGAATTTAATGCATGAGCTCAGGGGGGACCTTGGGTTAGGGATAGGGTCACCCATAGCTCTGAGTGCCAAACTTAGACTGCTCTCACCCTGAATGGCTGGTTTTGCTGACGTGGTGGGGATAGTGGGTAAAGCCTGCAGTCACCCAAAGTGCCCAGCGGTGACCCCCTTTTATAGCAACCCTGCCCTTGAAAACAGACGTGAAGGTTCCAAAGCCCATACCAGCTCACTTGAGGAAACATCACTTTCACAGAGCATTTCTGATCTCCCAGGAGAGTATATGAAGCTCATTCCACATAGTCCAGAGACTCTGGGCAGAGGTCAGCCACAGGCAATTGACTGGGCAATTGACTTTAACAGTAATGGGTGGTGCCCATGTGCTCTAGAGAAAACCAAGATGTAGAAATTCTCCAAGAATAAAAGGATGCTGGGAAACAGGATGCATGACATGTAAAGGGAAGAAAAAGAACTTTATAGTAGGGAAATCTGGAGGATGCCACCTAAACCAAGTGATCCGTGGTATCACCAGGAATGGGGCACACAGACAGATGTGTCTCCTCCTGTGATTCCCTGAGAAGAACACAGCCTTGCTCAGGGAGTGCTCTTATTGGAAATGCGTAGCCTGAATCTAACCATGAGGGGAAAAAAACGGAGGGCCATTCTATAAACCAATTGGCTTGCACTCTTCAAAAAGGTCAATGTCATGCCAAGAAAGGCTAAGGAATTGTTCTATATTAAAAAGAGACTACAGAGATGTGACAACCGAATGCAGCATGTGAACACATTGGGACCACTGGCAAAATCTGAATCTAGAGCATTTTTTCCAACCATATGGCATTGCCACTTTAGTAGGTTAAAAGCAGTCAAATGTCAGCAATTTCGTATGATTCAATTTGAGTAGATTAATGTATTGTGTCAATGTTAAAACTGCCTGCATCTGACAGTCATATTGTGGTTATCCAGGAGGATACACCTGTTCTTAAGAGATGTATGCTGAAGTATTTAGGGGTGGAGAGAGAAAGACAAAGTGTGGCCCAGTGTTAACAATTAGTGTATCTAGGTGAAGAGTATATGGGTATTCATTCTGGCAACTTGTCAAATAAGTAGGGAAAAATCCAAGGGGAAATTCCATCTAGTTCTCCCCCTCTGAGAAGAACAGATTCTGAGGCCCTCGCCCCCTCCGCAGGGAGAGCTGCGGTGCCGGTGTGGGAAGCATGGTGGGCAGTCCCCACCTGGGTTTCCAGTTCTGTGACCTCCAGGTTCAGCTTATTCAGGTGCTTGTTCACGAAAGTGATGAGTGTCTGGAAGGGAAGCAAAGCGGGCATTGGGATGGAGGCTCTCACCAGGGCCAGACCCTGTGGCTGCCCCCAGCCTGGTCAGGGGGAGAGCAGGGGCCCAGGAGGTCCCCCTGCAGAGGCTCTTGAGAGCACAAGGAGGGCCACTGGCTCTAGGCCTTAGGTCGCACCCAAGTCAGGACTGTGCAAGGAACAGGGAAGTCCCAAAAAGCAGAAGGACAGGTAGAGTGCCTGAGCCCGGGTCAGGGGGCCAAAGGGAAATTAGGAAGGGGGCCCAAGATCAGATGACCCCACTGCATCCCTCCTTCCATGCAGGTCCCCGAGCCAGGGGACAGGGCATTCTGTGCGAGCAGCAGGGACAGCTGAGGTCAGCTGGTGTGAAGACAGGGTACTCATCATGCCCACAGAGGGGAAAAAGACTGGACAGGCTTCCCGTGAGAAAGACAGGTGAGCGGACAGCCAGGGGGACAGCTCCGTGTCTGTGGAGATCAGGTGATGACACCAGTTTGGCCGGGAGCTCACAAGTGGCAGGGGTGGGTTTGTGCTAAGGCTCTGCTGTGGCTCAAGCCCCTCCCTCCCTCCCTCGCAGGTGTCCCCTTCCCACCTTTTTCACCACGTTGAGTTTGTCTGGGGCATGGTCGAACAGGGTGTCAAAGGCATCACGCTCTGAAAAAGAGGAAGGCAGAATGTGGAGTACAAGCCGACGCCTGGAGAGGAAGCCACCCCAGGTCCCCAGGCCACAGCCTTTAAAGGCCCCTGCGGATGGGAAAACTTTGGAGTACTGATTGTGCTGGGGACTTGGGAATCTGGGATTGGGGCTGAGGTTCGGGGTTGATTCCTACCCTAGGGGCCTGTCTCTCGTGCGCACACGCGCATGTGTAGTGTGTATCCATGCATGTGTGCACAAAGCAACCCTTTATTGGGCCTGTGGCAGGGTGCAGGGCTCTGTCAGGCAGTTTGAACTGGGATTAGTTATTTCTCTTCACCATATGCCATTATGCTGTGACTCAGTCGTGCTTCTAAGGTGTTTTTGAAACTTTCTGGAGGTAGAATGTTGTCCAAATAGCAAATCATTTCACCTCCTAATTTTCAAAACCAGGACATCCAAGACAAACATGCCGTTGGAGGGTGCAGGTGAGAGGAGGGGGAGCAGGGGATTCAGGATAGAACAAGAGCTCTCCCTCTTGTGTGATCTCAGGCACTTCAACTCTTCACACCTCAGTTTCCTCTTCTGTAAAATATCACCTTAAAAATGACCCTCTCTCAGGTTTGCTGCTAGGATCAAAGGTGAGAACGTATGTGCGTATGCTCTAGTGTTGTGAATTGTCTTTAGCATGATTGAAATATTTCAAGATATTACCTATAGTAAATACCAAAGTCACACTCCCTGCAGGGATTTCCTTGCTCCATGCTCTCAGAGCCAGGAGGTGACATAGGGAGGGCCTCTGAGGCAGGGATGGTCTGCAAGGAGAGCCTGGGGCTGGGAGGGTTTGTGACTCCAAGGCTTGCCTTCTCATACACTTGCACCGATGGACAAATATGAGACTAATAGAAAGGTGATGGTGATCTCTAACATTCACAGACCCTACACACACTCACAGTCCTGGGAAATGGGAGAGGAGGGAGCTGTGATGAAGGCAGACGGCTGGACAGAGTGGGGAGAGGGACAGTCCCTGTGTTCATACATCTCTTCCTTCCACAACATGCTTAGAACAAAAGTGCCCTGCAAATGCCCAGGACCCATCCAGCAGCCCCGGCAAGGTCAACAGCCTGATTACTTTCAAGATGATTGTGCAGCTCTGCTTCCCGCCAGCAAGCTATCCCTCCCTGCCCAAGCGGCCGGCCGTGTCGCCAGGCTGGTGCAGACAGACACGCATCCAGGCAGCCAGCTGAGAGCCTGTTCCTCCCAGCTGCTGCAGAATTAACTGGAGCCCCACCACAGCCACCAGTGCCAGAGGACAATCGTGTGCAACTCACCATGCCTCCCGGAAAGGGCCCTGTAGGAAAAGGAGAGAGAAAACAGTGTGACTCTTCTCTTGGCTTTTTTAGAGGCCAGTCCTCTGAGGACCCTCTGTCACTGCCGGAAGCCCACCCCTACCCTGCCTGCCACCATCCTGTCCTTGGTTGAGGAGTTAGAAAAGCCGCCTTCCATTGGCATTTTGCTCTGCAATATCCAATTACTGAGACTTCACCACATTACCACCTAGTTTTCTCCTCTGCTACATGGATATACTGGTGTTAGTGCAAAGCCTGGTATAGTGATGCTTAAAGTTAAAGAATATTAGACTTGGGGGCTGAAGATGCCCAGAGACTCTTAGAAGCAGAGCTGATGTAACCCCCCGATGTAGAATTTTACTGCCCAGATTATTGTGGGCAACTGCCCAGGGAGGTCAGCGTTGTCTCTCTCCTGTCCTTCCTGTGATGCCCACTAAGACACACCGGCCATTGAGCCAGGGTAGGCTTTCTCAAAGAGGACAGGAACTGTAACCACACTTACAGCAGAGAAGCAGCAAAGCATAGAGATCATTTAGGTTTAAATCCTACTAAGCCTTTTTTTTTTTTTTTTGCTGTGTGACTTTGGGCAAGCTACTGAACCTTTTTGGGCTCAAAGTTTCTTATCTCTAAAATGAGGTTAATAGTGGTAAATACCTCAATGAGCAATAAATGATTTAATATCTAGAAATATGTTAGCATAATTCCTAGTATATAGTAGCTGCTCAAAACATTTTTTTCCTCAATACATTTTGGCTCTCACTATAATTATGTCAGTTTACACACCTGTACATCTGTCACCCACTAAATGACAACTTGCAAAGAATAATGGACTTGGAGTGAACTGATGGATAGACCAAGGATATAGTCTTGGGCTGTGGGGCTTTAGGGGTGTAATTTGGCTTCATGTGATTATTATGAACATCAACAAAATTGCTTCATAAATTGTATTGTGTTGTCATTATTAGGAGGCTGCATCCATGTTTATGTCTTTGTGGCAGAGATGGCAGAGAGAGGGGGAACCACAGAAACTGTTAACAGGCAGCTGAGAGATTGTTCTGGAATCTGGAACTTCACACTCTGATTTGGGAGTTTCTCCCAGGCTATGCTCCTCTCTTGTCCGTCTTCCTCTTTTCCAGAAGGTGAAATTGTGGGCACAGAGAAGCCCAGCATGGGGCGGGGGCAGGACACTGAGGGACGCTGTTCCTCTCCCAGCAGGCCTGACCCAGGGCAGCTTTTTCTCCTACCCTTCCTAGAACCAAGGCCAAAAATTGGTGTGCCCTGTAGACCAGCTAACCCTTCGGCTCCTAAGACTGGGTCCTGGGGTGACATGGAGGCTGCTCGATGGGGGTGTCCATAGGCCATAAACTGGGCATTTTGGGAAGAGGCACTCTATATCTCTATCCCACTCTTGGCCTGAAATGCCCACACCTCTAACCCCTTTTTACGGCAACTGCACGATGTGGTCCAGACGGGTGCCCTGGACACCTGCCAGCCATGACTGGGAGAGGGAGGGGGCTTGCTAGAAACTAGACAAGGCTTGGAAGGGTGGGTCACCTGTAATGCAGAAAAGCCAGGAAGGACAGCTGTGTCCACACCGAATCCTCACTACCTCTCTGGGTGAGTTAAACGCTCCCACTTCAGAGATGAAGAGACCGAGGTCAGAGAGGTTAAGGGACTGACCTGGTGAGTACATGGAAGAGCCTGGATTTGAACTCAAGATGAGCTGGCTTAGTGGTCCCTGCTCCTTTCACTATGCTGCTCTTGTTCGAGGGGGATAGAGAAAAGTCGGGGCATCGGGGGATGCTGAAAGCAAACTGCCCAGCTTTGCGGGGGGCCAGGGCCCAGGCCTGCTGGTGACACTAAACCCACCCCACGCTAGCCTGTTCTTTCTGCTTATGAACAAAACTCCCGTTCCCTGTGGCAAACCTTTTGATAGGTTCTACTATCCCAGTTTCTAAAAGTAAACGGGGAAAAAAAGAAAACAAAAAACCCAAAAGACAACTCTAATGTAGAGAAGGGCTTTCTGGGTCATGGCACGTGACCAAATCAGATTCAGAAAAGGAAGAAAAACGTCCTTTTGAAGGTTAACAATTTAAATTCAACCCAGTGTTTATGGCATGACGATTTCATGCTGGTTGGCTTTTTTTGGGTACACTTTTTCCTGGAGTGCCACAAAATTAGAATTTTTCAATCACTGCTAATTCCCTCTCCCCACTCCCCACCCAAGTTTGTACCTTAAGCATTGAGAGGCATGTTTTGAATGCATGGAAAAGGCTAAACTATAATCATTGGCTGAAGTCTAATCCCTCCTGCAATCCCAATAAATGAAAACTAAATATCAGCAAATGGATGAATTTCGCAGAAACATCTGTGTTCCATTACAGAATCGCTGGCAACAATGGTGTTGACATACTCTGTGTTACCAGTTATTTCCTCTTGGATTTGCCGAGACTGGAGGATTCCTTCCCGTTTCTGAAATGGGGGTGGGGAAGAGAGGTTGGGAGAAGAGGAGAAAAATATGCTTTAGAAAAATCCAGAAACACTGATAAGCATTCCTGACATTGAGAAAATGACTGGTGTTTAAGAAATGTACCCAAGGCAAGATAATGCTAGAGATGAAGAGAGGCCCCGATTTCCTGCGACTGGACTGTACCATTAGGATGCAAGGGCAATTAGTGTTTGGTCCAAACAAGTAGGCTGCTTCTTGGATGGTGAATCTTTCGTTTCTTTATTGGAAGACATTCTGCTGGAAGCAAAGTGTTTGCCTCCTGGAGTAATCCACAGCAAACCACATGGAAAGGAAGGCCAGGGTGTGTCTGCCCTCCGTCTGGGGCCACAGAGGGAAGCTGAGAAACACATTTAACTGGGGAGCTGGGTGGAGGGACAGAGGCCAACTTGGAGCATTCAGACAGAGGGTTTTTTATGATTGATTACTATGGGAGTTTTTAAGTAAGTAGTACAATTGTCACGCAGGTAACTGGGAAAAGTTAAGCACTTTGGAGACTTGTCCATCCAGCTGTGCGTCCATCATCTGTCCACCCCCTCTCCCATCAACTCATCCTCTTTCTTCATTTCACGAACCAGAGCCTTCTGTGTACAAGGCTCTGTGCGGCAGTTAGAACAAATGCTATGAACACCATGACGTGGTTTCTGGCTTTGAGCAACTTACGAGTCAATGGGGGGGGGGATGAAGCAGGTATGTGAGAATGGTTTCCCCAAAACAGTCCAGGTTTATGCCTGATGTCCCAGCCTAATTATTAACAGGATCCCCTTTCACTTTCAAAAGTGTCATGGATGATAAATTACGTGGCTGCCCTATGCGGAAAGGAAGTGCTGACGGCAGGTCGGGAGCAAGCACTTTCAGCTGGGCTGGCCAGGGAGCCCTTGCAGGGGGTAAGGGGACTAGAGCTGGCACTTCAAGGCCAGGTAGGATTTGGCTGGACATCGAGGAGAGGTCACTCTGGTGGGAGGAATGGCCCCAGCCAAAAGGCAGAGTGAGGGCAGCACAGATGTGCTCAGGGGGGAGGGTGGCTGCCATTGGTTAGGGGACAGCTCTGAGTGCCAGCCCGGAGAGTTTGAACCGCAGTGTGCGGGCACAGGAGCCGCTGGAGGATGAGGGCTCAGGAAGACTCTGTGATGGACGTGGGGAGGGAGGTTCATTCTCTCCCGTCCCTACACAGCCTGCACTGGTCACTTTGAGGACGGTCTGCATGTGGCACACGATGACAGAGTGAATTCACCTTCCCAAAGGCTGTAATGAGTGTCATGAAGGAGCCTCTGAGTGCTGGTGGCTCAGCTGAAACCTGGCTTCTTGAGCCTCCTACAAAAACTTCCAGAAATGTTCCTTCATATTCCCAATAGCCACAGATACTAGCGTCCTTGCAAAATACCTTTCTATAAAGAAGGAAACGTAGAGTTCGGTAAGGCCAAGAGTCTATCTGCATTGATGAAGAAGAATGGACTTATCAAAGCAAAAAGGAAGTAAAAGAAAAAAAAATACTATTTAAAGGGGGGCCAGGTGGAGATAAATTAGGACTTTTTCCAAATTCAGCTTTGGCATACGTAACATTTTCACAGGAGGCTAATGGAATCTGTATCCTTGTCTTGTGAGGCCATTCACAGACATAAAACCTCATCTTCAACTTCTTGTAGCACTAAATGCTTTCATATAGAATGGAAAGGAAATGTGCGTTAAATAGCCCCTCACCCAGCACCCTGGTTCACCTCCATCCATTCTTTGTTCCCTAGAGAGTTCTCTCTGCGGCTCATCCGTGACTCAGCCAGTTCTCAGTCCTGCTTCTGTGCCCGTTCAACTTGATAACGTGAAACACCTCATACAACCTGGCATGCATTGATGCCATTTTATGTAATGTGTCTTCTTTTCTCTCTCATGCTAACAAAACTGCCGACGGGAGAAATTAAACCAACAACCGCCTTCCGATGCCCTGTGATTGAGCTCAAAATAAGGCAGGAGAAGTGGGTTTGCAATGACCACTGTTTCAAAATAGGAGCCCCCTCCTCTGCTCAGATCTTCAATTGCAGTTATTGTTTTTTGTCTGTAGTAATTCCAACAGGCATATCTCATTATTTCAATTAGACAGCTGTTTATTCAAGCTGATAAAAATCCTAAAATATTCAATAAATTAATACTCAAAGAATTGGAATGAACTGTCATAAAAGGGAAGATACAAAAGGGCAATTTGTATAAAAGTATGTATCTCCACTAGCAATAAAAAAGCTATAAATGAATATAATGATGGTATGTTTGCTCATGAAAAACATTTTAAAAAATTTCAGGGTCAGTGATATGTGGTCACTAAAATACTCTTTCATGGACTGTTCCAGGAACCACAATTTTTAAAAAAATTGGCTTTATTTTCTAGAGCACTTTTAGGTTCACAGCAAAATTAAGAGGAAGGTACAAAGACTTGCCACATACCTCCTGCCTCCACATACTCACAGCCTCGCCCACTATCTATCAACATCGCACCAGAGTGGGACACTTTTTACAGATGATGAACCTGCAGTTGATACTAACACGTCAGTCACCCCAAGTCCATAGCTGACATTACGGTTCACTCTGGTGCTGTCCATTCCACAGGTTTTGACAAAGGTACGATGACATGTATCTAAAAATCCTCTGTGTTCCACCTCGTCATCCCTTCCTCCCCAGCTGTAGTTTTTACAATGAAACTGGTTCACACGCTATTGAATGGTAACAATTGAGGTGGCCTGGTAGATGCTTGTGCTAGGATGCTGTGGTTGCCCATATATCCACAGCATACATAAAATGCTCAGCACCGTGCTTCACACAAGTGAAGAGCCCAGTACATGGGGACAATTAGTACCCCTCAGCCAGAGGCACTTAGTGTCTGAGCAACACACATTTGCATTGTCTATGGGCTCTGACAGCCCTTTCTGCTGCTAATTTGGTCTTGTCTCCTGGCAGGCAGGGCCAAAGTGTCATATGCCTGTTGTACCCTCTTGCTGCTTAGCAGAGCTAAGGGCTTAGGAGGCGTGGAAGAAATACCTTTTCATTAGGAAACAACTGATCAATTGATCCTCCCCTCCTATGAACATCTGATTCCTGAAAGCTCAACTCAGATTTTGTCTTGGAAACTGGCCTGGCCTGATTGGGCAAAACGTACCAGCCCTCAAGGCTCTTCCTCACCGAGGGATGGCGGAGCTGCCATCTGCATTCTCTTCCAGAGCCCTGGGTCCCCCTGGGTAGCCAGGGAGCTGCGCATATGGAGAGTTCTCCCCTGCTGCATGTTTATTTGGAAAAGAACAGAAACAAGCAAACAAAACGATGACCTTTTGCTAAATGGGTATAAAGTTGGAAAATAAAATTGAATTTGAGTATTTAATGGGGTTAGGCGCAGAGTGAGATGGTCATGGGGAGAGAGCACACCCTCACTGTGGAAATTACACAGCCATATGTGAATGGAAATTCCATCCAACAATCTGGAAAAGATGACTTGGGATCCCAGCTGTGCTGCTGTGGGTGGGTAAAAAGCGGCAGTGCCTTCAACACAGGCATGGCCAGCTGGGGTCTCTCTCACATGTACACACACGTACACACTCTCTCACATGCTCACATACCTAGCTCCCCCAATACCTGGGCATCAAGTGTTTAACCAAAAAAATTATGATTCTCCATGGCTTGCAGGGCATGCCACACACTCCTGTACACAAATGCGCACACACACACACACCCCATTCCCCCTCACTTCCCTACACACACCTCACATGCATGCCACACACCCTCAACTCCACATTACACAGACAATCTCCTGACAAAAACATGTCAACTACAGTCATGCACCCCACACAACGCTACCCCGTGCACAAGCACACGCTTTTCCATCCTTTGCACACCTATTGGGGGAAGCCAACACGCCTTGGAAAGCTCACTCACATACCCGCCATACCGAGCACATGCAGGCTCACCCAGCATTCATTCAACTGTCGTCCTAATGATCTACTTGACGTGTCGTAGCTCTCCTAGGAACTCAGCCTCCACAACAACTCAAAGGCACAGGTGTTTGTAGTGGTATCTGTCTTACCTGGACCACAACCACTTGGATGGAAACATGGTCTGGGAGTCGGATTGGTGCCCGGAAATACTGAGAGAGAGCAACCAGCAGATGCAAGATGGCCACCAGGCTCTTGGCATGAACAGCTGAAATAAAAGAGGATTTAAAAATTAGAGCATCTTCCTCTGGGTTCTAGGCACTATAAGCAGATATTTGAAATGTAGCAGTCCCCTACCTGATGTCCCTTTATCCCACCCCCAAGGGTCAGGGGACACCATGATTGTCACCAGTCATGCCCCGAGACCCTCACTCTTTGCCAGGTCTCATGGAGCTCCTTCCCGGATCATGTTATTGCTGGATTTCCAATGTAGCAATAGGAGATTCCATTGGAAGGATTCCAACCTTCCAATGTAGGTTTCCACTGGGGCTCTGACAACTGCTGAGTTCTGAGCTCAAATCAGCTCTCCCCCAACCCTACGTCCCTATCCACTCTGTTTTAATAACCAAGAGCATGTCTGCTGTACGCCCACTCCCCTCCCACTTGACTGTGAGCTCTTTGGATCACTCCACTGTTCCAAGATTGCACACAAAGCAGGTCCCTAATAACAGACACTGAGGCAGGAACACTGGCGTCCTTCCTTTGTTCAGGGCTTAAGATCCCTGGAGGAAGACACGAGAGACATCTGAAGGGCTCTGTTGCTCTCTTGAGGGCCATGCGTGGTCAGTGTAGGCAGCGCCCATAGGGAACAGCTGTGGGGTGGATGTTGACAGCCCAGTTGGCTTCCGTGGTTGCTGAGCCGTGATCTGCATGTTAAGCCATTTACGCTAGAAAAAGGCTGGGCCCTATTGAGTTGTAGTTTTCTCAGGGTCAGGAGAAAAAGACTGACTTAGTGAGGTGCCACAGGGTCAGGCAGACTGGAGCTGGAATTCTGACTTTATAATCTACCATTTATTTACAGGCCCCATGACCTTGGCTAGGGTGGGCCACTCAAGACCTCTAAGCCATAATTTGCTCATCTTCACAAACGGAGATAATGGAACCCATGTGGACATACAAGTTGTAAGGATTTCTAAAGATAACATAGGCAAAGCTCTTGGAACATAGCAGGTGCCCAGGAATGACTGGTACCTTTAACTATAACTTATGTGAAAGTACCTGGCACCTAGGCGATTAAAACACGTCAGCTTTCTTTCTCATAAAAGGGAAGATTCTCCAGATGCTTTACCTGCCTTCACAGTCCTACCGGCTTTACGGCTCTTCATTACAGAGGCATTTAAGGCAAGAACCCAAAATGCCCATTTCGTCTACTTAGCATGCACTGGGTGCATTATTAGCGTGTCATTCTGTTTTCCTTGGGACCAGTGAGAGTGCTTTAGCAAAAGCTTTGAGAAATCACCAAGGAAAGGAACTGATTCAGACATTCCTTTGAAACTCGTTAGTTTCTTGTTATCACCACTACTTCAAAGAAGGTTTTCCTACTGACTATGGACAGCAGCTCAACACCACAACAGCAGCTGGACTGCTCTGAACGCCTAGCCTTCCAGAAGAAGGTTTCAGTTTTGGGCTTTCCAGCATTGTGAACTAAGTTTTACCCATAGTTACAGCCTCAACAAAAGGCTCCTGATGTGGGATGGACCCACTGACATGGTGTGGTCACTGAGGGTCAGGGCAAATCTTGGTTTGCTCTCCTGATCACAATTGCCATCCACCACCTGCCTGACACTGGGGACTGTAAGAACATTTGCTACCCTTCCCCTCTTTAATGGCAGAACATGATACTAGAAAACTTGTGGTCAAACAGGTTGTTCTTATACCTGGGCGACACTGTACATCATCTCTACTCAATAGATGAACCACATAGAGCTGTACCGTATGTATCATATGGATGTCAGCCTCTTTCAATGAGTGCTTTGTCCTCCTGGGATTTTTTTCAAAAGACATAATTTCACAGTCTCTCACATACATACACACAATGTACACAGAAATGTTAATTATTATTGTCTTTTATTTCACAATATTACAGGGGTACAAACGTTTTGATTGTCTTTGTAGCCATATTGAATAAAGGTTGTAAGTGGTGCGCCATCAGCCCGCTATACATGTTGCACTCGTTACCTGTCAGGTGGAATTACCCATCCCCCTGCCTCGCCACCTGCTTGGCATTGCCAATTGAAATGTTATTTCCATATGAGCGAGAATGTAGGTCGTTAGTTTCCCATTTAGTGTTGGTGGTACATGTGTGGTATGTTGTGTTTTCCATTTTTGTGCATAGATATAACGTGAATAATGGGTCTCCCAGTTCCATCCAGGTTGAAATACAAGAACTATTAGTTAACACCTTTGCTTTTATGCTGAGTGATGTAAGTAACTCCGATGAGGTTGTGTGTGTGTGTGTGTATCACATTTATATTAATCCACCGCGATGAGAGAGCGAGCGTGAGTTGTTGCTGAGAGCGTGCGAGATGTGAATTGCTATATAAACATTCGGAAGAAGAAAGTGCAGGTGTGCTTTTTTAGTAGAGAGGCGGCGCGAGTTGGTAATGCCCGGAGGGAGAGCTGGAGCGAGAGATGAGAGGTCGCATTTTAGCTTTTGAGGTATCTCCGGATACGAGCGCGCGAGCGAGCTGGTCTTTGAGGCCGGAGCGCGCAGCGCGAGAGCGAGTATGGAGCCGAGCGGCAGCCGAGCAGTGCCGAGCAACCAGAGGGAGGTTACTGGAGAGAGAAAGCGGAGCGCGAGAGAGCTGGAAAACAAAGGAGAGGAGAGAGGAGAGGGAATGGCAGTTAAGGTAGTGGGCTCAAGGAGTTTGAGAGCGCGTGAGGAGATTAGAGAGAGAGAGAGAGTTGCGCGAGAGGGCCATGGGGGAGTCGTATCTTCTGTCAAAAGACTTTCGTGTTCAGGCCTTGCGCGGAGTAGAGGAGATGTTTTTCCTTGCTGATTTTCCTGAGTTGCTATATAGATTCTAGTTATCAGCCCTTTATCAAATGTTATAGCATGCCAAATATTTCTCCCATTCTATAGGTTGTCTGTTTGCTCTAGTGATAGTTTCTCTGGCTGTGCAGAAGCTTTCTTTCTTTTTTTTTTTTTTTTTATTGAGGCAGAGTCTCACTTTGTTGCCCAGGCTAGAGTGAGTGCTGTGGCATCAGCCTAGCTCACAGCAAACCTCAAACTCCTGGCTCAAGCAATCCTGCTGCCTCAGCCTCCAAGTGCTGGGACTACAGGCATGTGCCACCATGCCCAGATGATTTTTTTCTATATTAATTAGTTGGCCAATTAATTTCTTTCTATTTATAGTAGAGACGGGGTCTCACTTTTGCTCAGGCTGGTTTTGAACTCCTGACCTTGAGCAATCCGCATGCCTCGGCCTCCCAGAGTGCTAGGATTATAGGCGTGAGCCACCACGCCTGGCCTGTGCAGAAGCTTTTTAATTTGATTAGGTCCTATTTATTTAATTTTTTGATGCTGTGATTGCTTTGGGTGTCTTCTTTGCCTAGGCTGATGTCTATGAGAGTTTTTTCAACATTTTTCCTATAATTCTCATGGTTTCATGCCTTAGGTTTAAGTCTGTTATCCATCGTGAGGTGATTTTTCTGAGGTGAGAGGTGCAGATCCTGTTTCAGTCTGCTACATGTGTGTGTCCAATTTTCACAGTACCATTTATTGACTAGGGATTCTTTTCCCCAGTATGTTTTTGTCTGTTTTGTCAAAGATCAGATGGCAATATGAAGATGGTTTCGTATCTGGGTTCTCTGTTCTAATCTATAGGTCTATGTCTGTGTTTTTGTGCAAGTACTATGCTGCTTTGGTTACTATCATCTTGTAGTATAGCATAAAGTCTGGTAAAGTGATGCCTACTGATTTGTTCTTATTATATAAGGTTGCATTGGCTATTTGGGGTTTTTTCTGGTTGTATATGAAGTGTAGAACTATTTTTTCTAGATCTGTGAAAAATGATGTTGGTATTTTAATGGGGATTGCACTGAATCTGTAAATCACTTTGGGTAGTATAGATATTTTAACAAGTTGATTCTGCTGATCCATGAGCATGATATGTTTTTCCATCTGTTTACATTCTCTGTGATCTCTTTCCTCAGTGTTTCATAGTTCTTCCTATAGCGGTCTTTCACCTGCTTAAATATATTCCTAGTTATTTTACTTTCTTTGTTGCTATTGTGAAAAGTATTGCATCTTTGATTTGATTCTCAGTGTGATTGTTATTGGCATATATGAAAACTTCTAAATCAAGTTACAAATTTTTGTAACTTAAGACTTTGTAACTTAAGACTTTGCTGAATTTATTTGTCAATTCCAGGAGTCTCTTGGTTGAATCTTTGGTGTTTTCTAGGCATAAGATCATATCATCAGCAAAGAGCGATAGTTTGACTTCTTCTTTTCCCATTTGGATACCCTTGATTTTCTTCCTTTGTCTGATTGGTCTAGCTAGGACTTCTAGCACTATGTTGAATAGAAGTGGTAACAGTGGGAATGCTTTCAGTTCTAAGTGGTAATGTTTTCAATTTTTCCCTGTTCAGTATGATGTTGGTTGTGGGTTCATTGTATATGTCTTTTATCATTTTAAGGTATGTCCCATTTATGCCTGTTTTGTTAAGTGTTCTTATCATAAAAAGGTGCTGAATTTTATCAAATGCTTTTTCAGCATCTATTGAGAGGATCATATGGTCTTTGTTTTTGCTTCTATTTATGTGGTGGATTACATTTATTACATTATGTGGTGGATTATATTTGCATATGTTGAACCATACTTGCATTTCTGGGATGAAGCCTACTTGGTTGTGATGAATTATTTTTTTGAAGTGCAGCTGAATTCAGTTTGGTAAGATTTTATTGAGAATTTTTGTATCTATATTCATAAGGGATATTGGTCTGTAGTTTTCTTTTTTTGTTGTGTCCTTTTCTAGCTTTGGTATCAAGGGGATATTGGCTTCATAGAATGAGCTGAGGAGGATTCCTTCCTTCTCAATGTTATGGAATAATTTCTGTAGTATAGGTATCAGTTCTTTGTAGGCTTGGTAAAATTTGGGTGTGAAACTATATGGTGCAAGACTTTTTTTTTCGAAAGACTTTTTATTGCTGCTTCAATTTCAGTGCTTGATGTTAGTCTGTTCAGGAATTCCATTTCTTCCTGA